CACACACACACACACACACACACACACACACACACACACACACACACGTGCGGATGCCATAAGATAATTAGAACGCGTGCAGCATGAGGTAAATGACGGAATTAAAAGCCGTTACAATATTAGTAGGTAGGTAAGCTGGCGCGCGTTGTTGGCGGAGGCTGCTGCTTCTAAAGGCTGCTCATGATAAATTTAGTAGAGTGAGCTTATTATTTCGCGAAGAGAGGATATACCCGCGTTGGGGCACCGCGGAGTCTCGGGGAACGCCCCCGAGGAAGGCGGATAAAGTAACCAGAGGAGGGAGAGAGAGAGAGATGAGATGAAAGCCGTGATTCTCAGGAAAGCGATGAGCTTGGAACGCGTCGCGAGAACGTCGGGAGATCACGAGAGGGAGAAAAACCGAAAAGCGACGCCTAAGATAAACGGCTCATCCTTCGTTCCTCCCTACGCGTCATCCCCACGCCAAATCCAATCCCGGCTCGTCACCCCCGCGCGCGCATGAGAATCTCAAGACTAATCACATTCGCGTCTCACGGCACCGCCGCCGCGCCGCGCCGTGCCGTGCGTCAACAAGTCGTATGTTGCAGCGATGCGGCGGCCTCTCGTTATCGTTGTAAAATAGAAGATAGGAAGAAAAGATAAAAACGGAACTTTTTCCTCACATTCATTTGCCTTTTTATCATTTTTCGAGAATATTCTCGTGTGAAGGTACTTAATCAAGTTTTGACAAAAATGTTGAAAAGTAAGTAAAAAGTAAATGAATATAGGTAATTTATATTCCCTACATCTGTCTTTGTATTGTATAATTTGCTTTTTCTATAGAAAACAAGAAGTGTATTGGTGCACTTTTGTTTTACGATTTCATTAGTATTTACTCCGAAAGCATATTTCAAATCGCGCGAGCAATATTTCACCCCAGTTTCACTGAAATAACTCGCTTTGTACTCCAGTAGCCACGGTACAAGATTGCAAACGTAATCGTTCAATTCACTATTATATTTTGCCGATTAAGTGGTCAGATTATATCGGCATTGTATTGCCGAGTCTAATCGAGGGATTCTTGTCCACCGCCCTCGGTTTATGGTCCTTCCATTGTGGGACAATCGAGCGCGTAACAGTAAGGTTTCGGGTCCTAATTGTGCTGGCGACGGTACCCCAAACGATCTTGGTAAGCGCCATACAAATTTTTATTTATGTAAGAAATCGCGTTATCTCGCACTCTCGCAACGGTGACTACTTAATCCGTTAGATCCAATTGGTCCACTCTTAAGACACCTTAAAGAGGTCTCGAAGTAAGCTTATTAAATTAACATTTTTGTAATAATTAAACTTTCAGGAAAAGTAAAGCTTGTTTATGCTCTCAATTCAGATTCAAGTATGTTTACGCTATATAATATTGTCATAGTAATAGCGATTGTCGTTTTCTCATCGATTTCTTTTGCCTCCGAAGAATACGTGGTCCTATTATTGCCGACGCGTCTTTAGCATTTTAAGCATGATAGAGAGAATCTGCGTCGTTTGAATATAACTCATCCCGAGTCCTGCCCCCCCCCTCCCCCCCTCGCCCTTCTCGCCCGGTCTCTTCAAGACGCCTAATAACCTTCCTACGCGACTGCTCGCGAAAGGAACATTTTCTTAAAGGAGCATTCAGGGCGCGCCTTGATGACGGCTATAGGTGGATATTATAGTAGCGGGGCTTACCCTTGGTGGTTTGCTACTTCCAGGAGGGAGTAAGATGAGTAAAGGAGGAGCGGAACTCGTACGGGGTACGGGGGGGAGGGAGGCTCGAGGCGAGGAGACACGACGAAAGGGGAGGAAAAACGGGTAGCGGGAACAGAGGGGGCGAGGGGACGCCCGGAAGGGTGACAGAAGGGTGGAGCGCGGAAGGGGGCAGGAGGGGCCGGAGGCGTGCATCCATCCATATCCATCCCGGGGTGGCTACCGGGACTTTGATTACTTGTTTTAATCTTCCGACTGCCGACTGGGCGAGCATCTGTCACTCAAAATCCGTAATTGCGCGCGGAAGCCGCCCCCTCTCTCGCCGGTCCGTCGAGAGCCACGGTTCTGCCTCCCCGCGTATTGCTATTACTTCCTTATTGGTGTCGTTTAGCACTCTCGTTCAACCGCGAACCACGCCGATCGCTCGGGCTGCGCTCCGGTAATCACGACGTTGTCTGCACTCAGGTTGAATTTATAGCTCGGCCTTTTCGATTTTGTACGGAGGTCTTTTAGTCGAACAACCCTCGCGTAATGCGTATAGCGATAAAAACGCCCGTTATTTATATTCTCCGGGGCACCGCGCGTGTTTCGCATCGTTCTACGATTATTTTACGTATTCGCATTTGACGTATTCAAACAATATTTATTTTTATTATATATTATATAGTATATGGAAGAAAATCGGAAATGTAAAATGGAAACTATTTGCGCAAACTGTAACATTTTTTTTTATAAGAGAGCTTTTATTTATCTTTTCTTTTGTATTCAGTCAGTTAAAGCTTGCTATTGAGGCGGTTTGAAAAGGTAAGAAGAAAAAAAAGCATTTGCCGGCCCTTGATTTGAATGCAAGCAAGCAGTTACACTCCCGCAATGGTGCTGGTACTGAATAGTTAGGGATGAGTATTAAACGAACAAACCCCTTAGCGTGTCCGTCCCCGACAATCTATCACCTCGTGTATATAATACACTGCACCGCTGGTCGCTCATCAGTTTGATGAAAAGATATTCCCCGACACGCCATCGCGTTATGCAAATGCTTTAATTGTAGGAAATTCTATGAGCAGAGGCCAATTATGTCTGACTGCGCACCAACGTTAATCCTCGACCGCTATATATACAATGGCGGGGATCAAATAGGATCTCGGTTGCGATATCGTCGAACACATTTCGCTGTTTTTCATTTCATAACATTTATTAATTAAAAATTAAAAGATATAATATTTTTTTTAATTTAATTTTTTTAATAAGATAGTTTTTAATTGCGCAATATTGTCTAAATACATTTTAGCGTCTTTCGTTTGTAACTCAATTCATTAATTTTGAAATGTAATGTTTTCTTCACTTTGAACAAATTATTAATTTTCTTCTTTTGTTTAGAAATAGAGTTGAATATAATTTAATTTATTTATTGCAACTTTTTTTATCTGCTCACGTCTTACCGAGGGTTAACCGAGATGGAGACCGCCGCAGTCTCCATTACGTCTTCGGATAATATCTCCGCAGATGTACGATCGCGTAATCTCGGCGATCCCAATCATTGTAAGCGAGAAATAAGACGCAGGTCGAGCGGCGTGAGCGGTCTTTCGATAGGATTTCTGCCGCTACTGCCGCTGCTCCTCTAATTGTCGAAGTCATTCGTCCTCTTCAAAAGGAACAGATGCACCAGGCTGTATTGAAGAACGAGTCTATCAGGGACCCAGGGGGGTCCCCGGTGCCCGTCTCTTGGGGTTATTTTCAGTCGATTATCCCCAGAACGCCGGGGTCAACGTTGTGCTTTAGAAAGTGAAAGCGCAAGAGAGCAGACGAGTCTATTAGCGCGGAGAAAGGCCGCGCGCATTTGCGTATACGCCAGTCTCTTTTCGTGAATTAATTTCAATGCCGAGGAAATATTACGCAGGCTATCCTCAGTTCCCTTCCGCGCTCTCTTTTGTTCTCGCGATATAATACGTTTTCTCTCTTGACATATTTCGTAAAGGTATATCGTGTACATGTAATTTTATAAATTGAGCGTGTCTGATATGAGAGATAATAAAGAAAGTATAGCTTAAAAAAAATTAAACTAACATCAGTGCGTGAAAGAAGGAGTAAACATTAGAGTGAAATGTTGAACTTTATAATCGCATATCAAGGATCTTGATGCGTGCTCGGGGATCATCGCGCGTTGACCGCTGTGCCATAACATTTCATGTAGCACGTTAGGAATATTCAAAAGGCTGCTACTTCAATTAAGGGACTCGGTTTAACACGAAAGAAAGAACCGCATATCGCATGTGCGCGGTAGAGGCGGAACGGTTGTATCTTATCTCACGTTTAATCACCATCGCTGACCCCAACCCTGACGACGCTCCTAAGCTGCAGTAATTACTTAGATGGACGCTTCGAAATCTTTGGCAGATCTGTGTGTAACGCGAAAAACAATCGGCCGACAATCTCTCTCGACGCGACGATTACATTTAAACTCTTTCTGAACGCTTCGAGACCCACGAGATCTTCAGATTTCGAAAGAAATGTACGGAAATAACCATTGGCGAATAGAATATAGGAAAATAATTAGAAACTTTGTTGAAGTATTAAGGAGAAA